GTTTTATGGTTTCATGTTTCACATTCAGGTAACTTTGATCCATTCTGAGTTTACTTTTGTGTATGGAGTTAGGCAGTAATACAGTTTCATTCTCTTACATGTAGCTGTCCAGTTTTCCCAATAACATTATTAAAAAGGCTGCCTTTTTCCCATTGTATATTCATGGCTCCTTTATTGTATATTAATTGACCATATACGCATGGGTTTATATCTGGGATTTCTATTCTGTTGCTTTGATCTGTGGGTCTCTTCTTATGTTAGTACCATATTGTTTTGATTACTGTAGCTTTGTAGTATAGCTTGAAGTCAGGGAACATAATCCCTCTAGCTTTATTCTTCTTTCTCAGGATTACTTTGGCTATTTGGAGTCTTTTGTGGTTCCATATGAATTTTAGAACTATTGTTCTAGTTAATTGAAAAATTGATAGGGATTGCATTGAATCTGTAAGTTGCTTTGGGCAGGGTGGTCATTTTGACAATATTAATTCTTCCTATCCATGAGCATGGGATAGATTTCCACTTACTTGTGTCTTCTTTAATTTCTCTCGTGAGTGTCTTACAATTTTCAGAGTATAGGTCTTTCACTTCCTTGGTTAGGTTTATTCCTAGGTATTTTATTCCTTTTGATGCAATTGTAAATGGAATTGTTTTCCTGATTTCTCTTTCTGCTAGATCATTGTTAACATATAGGAACACAACAGATTTCTGTGTATTAATTTTAATCCTGCAACTTGCTTAATCCAGTTATTCTAATAGTTTTTTGGTGGAATCTTCAGTTTTCTATGTATAGTATCATGTCAGGAATAAAAGTGATGAGAGTAGACATCCTTTTCTTGTCCTTATTCATAGGGGAAAACCTTCAGCTTTTCATCATTAAGTATGATGTTAGTTGTGGGATCTCTTATGAGTTGTAGTTAGATGCTGACTTGGATGGCAAGCTCAATTGTGCTGTCCAGGATGGCTTCTTCACTTACATGCCTGGCGCCCAGCCCCTGCGCTCCAACACATGGCCTTTCTTTCCAGCAGCAAAGCCTGTACTTCTTACATATCAGTTTAGAGCTCCAAGAGATAGAAAGAGGAAGCTACCAGGCCTGTTAAAGGCTATTCCTCAAGTGGGCACAGCATCATTTCTGTCACACTCTGTTTATCCAAACATGAAAAGTTCTGCCCAGACTCAAAGGAGCAGAAAAATAAACTCACTTCTGAATGGGGTAGTAGCAAGTTCTCATTGCAGAAAAGCATGTGGTATGGGAGTTACTGTTGTGGCCATCTTTAGAGACTACAGGTCTGTCACTTGATGTTAGGTTGAAGGATAATTAGGTGTTAGATAGGCAAAAGAGTGGGGAGGACAAAACCAGCAAAATAGGAACAGCATGTGGCAGGCCTGGAGGTCAAAAAGGTAAACTCTGAAGGAGAGGAACTAACAGGCCTGTGGGACTGAGTGGAGGAATGAAGAGAGGAAGAATGTCATGAAAATGCTGGGTCACAGAGTGAAGAGCAGACTTTTTAGAGAATGGTTAAGAAGGGTAAATGCATATTTATGTTAGAAAGCCAAGGGAATAGGTGTGTAAGTTCCAAATAAAAGCAACGGTAAGTGCTAAATAGTGCAAATCAAAATTCCTAGAATAGGAGTACAGATTAGCCTGAAGAAGGACTTGGGGTAGAGAGGGTAGGTCAGGGAAATATCACCCCAAATCATATAACTAATATGAAATACAATTGGATTTGAAACCAGAACTGACTTTAGAGTTCAGACCCTTTCTACCATATTGCTCACCATGGTCTATGGAGTCATTTCATGTAATCTTGAAAATCCCTTGCTAATCAAAAAGCAATTTACTCTAATCTCTTTCTAGCTATCAGGTAAATACCTTCAAGTTTTCTAGGCTGAACTCAAAGGGTACTTCCTTTTGAAGAATTTCTTAATTATCTGCCTCACTTTCTGACAGTTGACCCCCTCTCTCCTTCCTTCACCAAATCTGTTTCCATTCTCTATCAAAGCAATTTTTAGACTTATTGTCTTATCTGGCTATGAGTAAAGTTGTAATATATCCAGAATATCTCACCTGGCTTTAGTGCAGCTGCATATCAACAGACGTTCCTCAGGGGTGGAGAGAAGTTCATCTCTCTATCAATGAGAGATTACCTGGGCAACAGAGGGCTTATCTGAACCTGAGAGGTTAGCAGAGCATGGGGAGGGAAGCTTGGTTTTGCTTCTGCTGAAGTAGGAAAGAGACATGGTCCTGGACTGCAGTTTGTAAGCAATAAGTGGGTTTTAAACTTTATTTCTCCCTTTGACTGATTTCGGTTTTAGAGGCATATTGTCCCAGGATTTCCTTTCCCTGGAGTTACACTGGCTCATCATGATAGATTGTGAACCACTTAGGACAAAAGCTATGTCTTATTTTTTTTCCCATCTTTAGTGTCTTGTATCTGGTGTAACCTTGAATAAATGATGGGTAGACGAGTGATTTCCAGAATTCCTTGTTAGTGGCATTAAAATGGTTCTAAAGTTGAATTGTTCTTGCCCTTTAATGGGGTTTAAATGGGGCAATGCATACGAAAGTGTCTGTGGGGTCTTGTAACCTATCTGGGCCCCAGTGTCCCCTTCTGTGAGAAGTTGGAATTGAAAGGATGCCATGTGGGGTAGAAGTGTTCCACAAGCCAGCAGTGCTGGCCATCAGTGGTTCTGTGCTTCTAACCAGTCTGTGAATACCCAAGCAGAAAGCACAAAGAGTATATTCCTAGACATTTTGATTACAAAAGAAAGAAAAATCACTTTGGAGATATTTACTCTCTTTCTCTGGTATGATTAAAGAGACTGAATTTTAAGCACCGGGTAAAAAAATGAATATGTATAATATAATTTTAGATGAATATAGTGCTCTGCACCTTGGTGTCTCTTATAAAATGGTAAACATATGTTAAAAAAACACATACCTGCCGAGGTCATGGAAGATGAAGCTGGACTGAGCAGCCCTGATTGCTGCCGGGACATGGCCCTGGGCTGAGAGAAAGGGAGAGCTGTTGAGAGCTTAGTCAAGGTTACAGCACCATGGGCTCATGAATTTGATGATAACACCAGAAAATTAGGTTTCCTGATTTCAATGACTATGTTGGTGGTTATGCAAGAAAATGTCTTAGTTCTAAGAAATACACACAAAAGGGTTTAAGAGTAAAAAACCAAAAACAAAAAAACAAACAATACAACTGGGTAAATTTGAAGATCAAATTGGCTTTATTCAATGATTCATAAATTGGGCAGTATCTCCTCTAGCAAAGGTGCTCTGAGGAGCTGTTCAAAATGGGAGGCTTCTATAGGCAGAAGGGAGAATTTCTAATAGAGTAGATAGTTTCAGGCAAGGTACCTTCTTTTGGGGAAAGGACAGGGGTCTGTGAGGAAATTACTTCATTAGTATTTATCAGGTAATTCCAGATTGACTGGCTGAAGGTCACATCCCGGAGAGGCTGAATCTACAATCAGATTAGATACTAAGTCTTGGTTTGCTAATGTGGGGCCGAAAACAGTGACTCCATTTTGGGCCTTTTTCTTTTTTTCATACCTACACCTTGTTTATTATGTTCACTTGAAGTTTTAGTAAGGAAAGAAACTAAAAGTTTTAAGATATGTTTTTTTCTTAGCTCCCAGTGTTCAAAATGAGACTGGAAAATCCCATATTTCAGAATTACCAAAGCTAGAATTACCAGAATTACTCTGTAGCTAGAAATATAACATACTTATCTCTGAAATCAGTCTGTGCCTTGCTTCGTGATTGCTAAGATAATACATATCAAAATATAAAATATAGACAAATTCATAGCCATTATCACTTTACAAGAGGTTAACCATGGAGTTCCTATGACCTGAAAACCTCCTGGATACATTGAAAGTAAAGGGCTGTATGCTAGTTTAATTTATATATATTACATAATGTAGATTAGTGCTGTTGGTTTAAATGTAATGGTTTAATGACCTAAATGTTAAAAATTATTTTAATTAGCTGTAACAATTGTGCAATTTTTAAAAAGAAAGCACATCTATGTACCTTTGCAGCAACATGTAAAGAGGTGTTGCTAATTGCTTAATTTTAGCTACTTGTAAGTAGTTATGGAAAAAAAATGACCTTGCCTAATTATTTTGTTTGTTTGCTAGTTTTTGTATTTTTAAATACAAAGATATAGTTGACTGTTGAGCACATGAAATGGAGAAGCTTTATTTGATTTTAATAAATTTAAATAGCCATATATGGCTAATGTCTACCATATTGGATAGCATCACTGTCAAAGTCTGCTCTAATTTGGCCTGACCTTGGGGTTCTAGCCTTTTCCAGAGAGAGTTGGTTAGCACGCTAACAGGACTTTTTCTGTTCAGCCCTAAGGCTGGGGCTATATTCCTAGGCCCATCCTTGAAACCTCAGGGAGTTTGGAACCTGAAGCCTTTTTCTAAGATGACAGGAGGAATTTTGAAATGCAGAGTCATCATTAGGCATTACACATCTCAACCTGGGGAGCAGAAGCGCAGTAACATTCAGGTTTAACAAAAAGGCAGAGCGTCCCTCTTTACTTCTCCCTTTCACCTCTAAGCCCAGCAAATCATCAGAGCTTTCAAGGTTTGTAAAAGGACTGGTGCATTTATGACTTTCAGATGGATCATAACAGTCACAGAATTCTTAGTCTCTGCTTACTATTTTAGGTCAGCATATCACAGAGATTTGTCAGGGCAGTCTTTTCACAACTGCTCTCAAAGGCTTCTCTGTGTGAGTAAAAGCTATTGACGGTACTTCCCCTTATCAAGTATTCCACCCTGCTCTGTGTAAGTTCTAATGCAAAGCAGGTAATGATGCATACCCTAGATAGCCGAACTTCTGTGTGGGTGTCATCCACCTTTGTGCGTGACTGCCACAGAAGAGATGTGAAGATGGGGAAGTAATTGAGTAGATTCATGTACTACAGAATACAATGCACCATGTGCCAATGCTGTGCTGTTTCTTCTCTTCCAGGGAATTAAGGATTGCCATGGCATTGTTCTGACAAGCACCTCCTGCTGTCTTTACTGAAGTCTTAATGAAGAATAATCTCAAAGGAACATTTGTCTCCCCATTCCTTTGTTAATTGCCATTAGCTGCTAGCAGAATCTTTTAATGACCAGGAAAACATCAGCCATCCTTGTGCTTAGCCTCCTCCAAGCAGCCGAATGAAGGTTTCTTCCAGTTGTTTCCAGAACTGTATTTTTGAGGCACCTCTCACTGTGGGGTGAATGTTCACAAAGCCCTTTCCTCAACCATCTTAGGAGGCATAGGCCTCCGGGGGCCTGTGACATGGAAGCTTTGGAAGTGGATGATATCAGCCCGGCCTTGGAAGTTACTGAGGACTTCTTTAGTACTTTTGATAGTAAGCTGGAGAAGGCTGTCCAGCAAGCAGAGGTTTATGGGATTCAGGAAGTCCCTGAACTGGTGGGACACGAGGTACCCAGTAACCTAACAGACAATGGTGCTATCAGAAATGCTGCCTCCCTGGGCAAGGGGGGCATGATTTGGGACCACTGTGAGAGCGGGCTCCTAGAAACCAAAGCTCAGAATGTCTTCCCTGCCAAAGAACAATTTATGGTCCAGAAAGGGACAACCCCAGATAACCTTTCCTGGATGGAACAAAAAGAAGCATCAACCTTTAATTTTTTCAACATCTGTCAGCGTCGGAGGGACAGACCTCGTTCTGTGAATGACTTGTTGGATGAGACCTCTACTTTCAAGCCAGGACATGCTCGATCAAGGTCAGATGTTACCCAGGTGGACTGGAGGGTAGTCCTCAAGCCCACACCTTTGCAGCAACAGGCCGCTCTCCAGGGCCCTCCCTTCACCAAGCCGTCCTTCCTGTCATCCTCCCCAAATAAGGTAGAAGATGCTCAAGGAAATACTGGTATGTTTTCTTACCTCACTGCTGTCAAACAGTCGTTGATTTTCCTTTGTCTCCCTTACATTTACATCATGAGAATCTTGCTCCCCAGTATCCATCTCTGGCTTTGCTACTTAAGTTCCCACTTCCATGTACCTTTGCACTTCACTTTACTTCAAGCCTCAGTTGTCTTCATAGAGGTACGGAGTGAAAGGACAACTGTGGTTAATTCTCCCTTCCTAATCTTGCATGTTAGTATCAGAATATTCTCATAATTAATGAGGTATTTTCCTTTGAACATTGCATGAACTGCTTATTCACATCAGTAGCTGTTCAACAGTTCACACATTGGGCATAGCCTTAGGCTATGAAGGATTTAAAGATGTGTGACAATACAGTCCCCGCACTAAAGATCTCACTTAGCTGAGGGGATCGGACACTAATGAAGACTCAAGACGGCATCCAGAGATGCAAGAGAAAGTAGATGGTCAACTGAAGTATTTGTGAGGGAACTTTCGCTTTACTCTGTATTGTTGGGATTTTTTTTTCAATGAACCAGTGACAGCGACTGTGAGAAGAGAGAGGACGAAGACCCTCTAGGCTGGGCTTGCCAGAGAGGGCTATGAGGGCTCATGGAACCCCAGCTGCACCTTGAGAGACACCACGATGCAGAAAGAGGGTTGCAGGAGATGATACCTGGTCAAGATTATAGGTGCGAACAGAGGTGAGCAGATGGAAGGTGCAGAGCAGGGCAAGCTGACCCTTGTGAGGAGAGCAGAGGGTCCCCCAGCACGTCCAGACCTCAGGGTGTAGGGTCCTGAATTTTCTTTTTCTTCAAACTTCATACGAATTCATGTGCTTATGAGTATATACTCAAGTACTTGCACATGAACTTTCTCCTCTGGGGGACACGACAAACCCTCTCTCCATTTGTCCCAGCATTTCCTTCAAGATAACCTCATTTATACAGACTGTCCATTTCTATTACTGATGATTCAGTCACTCTGCCCAACCCTTAATTTATATGGCTGTACTCAGTTAACAAGGAGAAATGTTTTGTGTACTTAATCACTATTTTGGTGTTCCCTCAGTCTCTATCATTGAGTGGTATTCCATTGATACTTTTAAATTTTAATTAATACAATTTAGTTTCTAAGAATAATGTGAGGCAAGGATATAATTTAGTAAGTCTGTTAAGAGAATCTAATATTCCTTTCTGTGAGGTGCCGTATTATTTTCACAAGTTCAAATCTATCTTTTTTTTTTTTTTGAGAGGGCATCTCTCATATTTATTGATCAAATGGTTGTTAACAACAATAAAATTCAGTATAGGGGGGTCAATGCTCAATGTACAATCATTAATCCATCTCAAGCCTAATTCTCGTCAGTCTCCAATCTTCTGAAGCATAACGAACAAGTTCTTACATGGTGAACGAATTCTTACAGAGTGAATAAATTCTTACATGGTGAACAGTACAAGGGCAGTCATCACAGAAACTTTCGGTTTTGATCATGCAATATGACCTATAAACCATCAGGTCAAATATGAATATTCATTTGATTTTTGTACTTGATTTATATGTTGATCCCACATTTCTCCTATTATTATTATTATTTTTATTTTTAATAAAATGCTGAAGTGGTAGGTAGATGCAAGATAAAGGTAGAAAACATAGTTTAGTGCTGTAAGAAGGCAAATGTAGATGATCAGATGATCAGGTGTGTGCCTATGGACTAAGTATTAATCCAGGCTAGACAAGGGCAGCAAGACATCCACGGATGCAGAAGATTTCTCTCAAAGCAGGGGGGGTGAGGTTCTGAGCCTCACCTCTGTTGATCCCCAAATTCTCACCTGATGGCCCCCCTGCGACTGTGCCTGTCTTAGGTTGTTCCTCCCTTGAGGAATCTTACCCGTCTCTGGCTAACCAGTCATCTTCCGGGGCCATACAGGGAAATGTAAAGTTGGTAAGTGAGAGAGAAGCCATATTGTTTGCAAAGGTTAGCTTTTTACTTCTTTGCAGATTTATGCCCTGTGGCTTCTATGCCCAGCACTTGTCTCGAGGTATCTTTACCACCTGGAGGAATTATGATACTCGGTAAATTCGATATGAGGCACGAATTCTATTTAAGGGTTGTAATTAGGAAGGAAGAAGAAAAGCTATAGATGTAGCATATGAAGGAAACTTGGGAGGATTGATTATTTCTTTGACATATCTTCTTGTATAGTACCTTAAGTATGTATAGGTTTTAAACTACTAACTAATTTGCACACACATATTAACATAATAGGAATACGGTGACATAAACAAAGCAAATCTATAATTACCAGCCATCTCCAGTGAAGCCAAGAAAACCATTTAGGCACCCTAGGCATTTGTGAAAATTTATCTATGATATGATGGATATTTTCCAACTGTACTTGAACCATCAGACAAATTAAAGCAGCCCATTTCTGGGATCTGTTCACATCCCATATGTTCTTTTAACCATAGATAGTCTATAGTCATGAGATTTTGGGGTGCTACAACTTGCACCCCTCCCAACTCCTGGTTGAGTTCCAACAGTACAGATCCAGTCAAATTCGTTGTCTCACTGTATGCACATGCCAGCCTAGACATCTCCCTCCTCCTTCTTATGGCAAGTCCAGGAGACGGTGGGCTGGATGCAGCCACAACCGCAGCATCGTCCGGATCCCTGTGGAGGCTTTTTGATGATCATCCCCCGGCACGAGTCCTCCAGAGAGTGCTGATGCCGGAAGCTCCTCCTCATATCGTATCTTAGTTCATTTTCTGGGTATCCAAGCTAGGCCTTGATCTTCTGCGTAGAAACAAACAGACCCTTTGCCCACACTTTGACATGCCCTCTATACCACTGTGCAGAACTCATTGGAGGTCAGCACACAGTAACTGCTTTTTTTTTTTTTTTTAATTAAGAGAAAGGAATATTATCAGAAAAGAGTACCTCCATAGCTGATCATCTGACACCCTTTAAGTGATCAACATTAAGGATATTTAAAGCATGCGTTGATCTTTGATTTACCAATAGTTTTATCCTGTTAAGGAGTAATCCCCCTTTTCTTTCTTTCTTTCTTTTTTTTTTTTAAATTTTTAATCTACACTTACCTGAAGAATACTATGTTTACTATGCTCTCCCCTATATCAGGTCCCCCCTAACAACCACATTACGGTTACTGTCCATCAGCTTAGCAAAATGTGGTAGAGTCACTACTTGTCCTCTCTGTGTTGTGCAGCCCACCCTCCCCTTTCTCCCTCCCCCCCATGCATGCTAATCTTAATACCCCCCTTCTTCTTCCCCCCCCTTATCCCTCCCTGCCCACCCATCCTCCCCAGTTCCTTTCCCTTTGGTACCTGTTAGTCCATTTTTGGGTTCTGTAATTCTGCTGCTGTTTTGTTCCTTCAGTTTTTCCTTTGTTCCTATACTCCTCAGATGAGTGAAATCATTTGGTATTTCTCTTTCTCCGCTTGGCTTATTTCACTGAGCATAATACTCTCCAGCTCCATCCATGTTGCTGCAAATGGTTGGATTTTTCCACTTCTTATGGCTGAGTAGTATTCCATTGTGTATATGTACCACATCTTCTTTATCCATTCATCTACAGATGGACATTTAGGTTGCTTCCAATTCTTGGCTATTGTAAATAGTGCTGCGATAAACATAGGAGTGCATCTGTCTTTCTCAAACTTGATTGCTGCGTTCTTAGGGTAAATTCCTAGGAGTGGAATTCCTGGGTCAAATGGTAGGTCTGTTTTGAGCATTTTGATGCACCTCCATACTGCTTTCCACAATGGTTGAACTAATTTACATTCCCACCAGCAGTGTAGGAGGGTTCCCCTTTCTCCACAGCCTCGCCAACATTTGTTGTTGTTTGTCTTTTGGATGGCAGCTATCCTTACTGGTGTGAGGTGATACCTCATTGTAGTTTTAATTTGCATTTCTCTGATAATTAGCGATGTGGAGCATCTTTTCATGTGTCTCTTGGCCATCTGTATTTCTTTTTTGGAGAACTGTCTGTTCAGTTCCTCTGCCCATTTTTTAATTGGGTTATTTGTTTTTTGTTTGTTGAGGCGTGTGAGCTCTTTATATATTCTGGACGTCAAGCCTTTATCAGATCTGTCATTTTCAAATATATTCTCCCATACTGTAGGGTTCCTTTTTGTTCTATTGATGGTGTCTTTCGCTGTACAGAAGCTTTTCAGCTTAATGTAGTCCCACTTGCTCATTTTTGCTGTTGTTTTCCTTGCCCGGGGAGATATGTTCAAGAAGAGATCACTCATGTTTATGTCTAAGAGGTTTTTGCCTATGTTTTTTTCCAAGAGTTTAATGGTTTCGTGACTTACATTCAGGTCTTTGATCCATTTTGAGTTTACCTTTGTATATGGGGTTAGACAATGGTCCAGTTTCATTCTCCTACATGTAGCTGTCCAGTTTTGCCAGCACCATCTGTTGAAGAGACTGTCATTTTGCCATTGTATGTCCATGGCTCCTTTATCAAATATTAATTGACCATATATGTTTGGGTTAATTTCTGGGGTCTCTAATCTGTTCCACTGGTCTGTGGCTCTGTTCTTGTGCCAGTACCAAATTGTCTTGATTACTATGGCTTTGTAGTAGAGCTTGAAGTTGGGGAGTGAGATCCCCCCTACTTTATTCTTCTTTTTCAGGATTGCTTTGGCTATTCGGGGTCTTTGGTGTTTCCATATGAATTTTTGAATTATTTGTTCCAATTCATTGAAGAATGTTGCTGGTAATTTGAGAGGGATTGCATCAAATTTGTATATTGCTTTCGGCAGGATGGCCATTTTGACGATATTAATTCTTCCTAGCCATGAGCATGGGATGAGTTTCCATTTATTAGTGTCCCCTTTAATTTCTCTTAAGAGTGACTTGTAGTTTTCAGAGTATAAGTCTTTCACTTCCTTGGTTAGGTTTATTCCTAGGTATTTTATTCTTTTTGATGCAATGGTGAATGGAATTGTTTTCCTGATTTCTCTTTCTATTGATTC